CGGGGCTGTCACATCTCCTGGCTGATACCTGAAGTCCCAGCCCACAGGTGACAGGACAGGAACTGAAGGGCGACCATGACCCCCAACTTCCATTCACTGATGGAGAGATTTTTAAAAAAAGTTGGGAAAACCGGTTATTGTCTTTGTGTTGCCTCCAGGGGGCGCTACTGACTCCTTTTATTTACTCAGTCGTAAAGGACTTGTACAGGTAGGGAAACACACAGGTGTACCTGGGCAGAAGGGCAGGTGGTCGCAGCTCTCTGTCTGGTGGCTGTCACCTTGACAATTTTGACCAGGTGGGTTGGATGAAGGGGCGGGGTTAGAACAGGAGCGCTGGCGAGTCCTTCTAATGGCTCTGCCTGGTGGGATGCAGGAACCTGAACACTCGCCCCAGCTCGACCACCCAGACCAGAACCCGTCAACTGTGAGAGACGCAGACGCTAACGCTAACTGTGTCCAGGAGAGGCGGCATGCGGATAAAACTTTAAATAACTTTAATAAAAAGAAAATATGACCTCATTTTGAATGTTTTCTACTGTGAATAAAATGTGTTAATGATTTTTGTAAATCCTTCTGTTGTTATTTACATTTTACACAGCGTCAGCTTTTGTTTTAAAAGATCAAAATAGATCAGGAGCATTAAACACAGCATCATAACGTCAGCAAGCAGGGATCAGCGTGGGCGAGACGCAGCAGGGAGACTTTCAGCAGCAGCGTCACTGAACGTGTTGCAAGGCTCCAGGTGTGTGTGTGTTACCTGGACATGGACTCTCACAAATCCTGCTCTGAGTGCTCGGCCCTTCGCAGACTTTGCCTCCATATCGAGGGGCGGGGCTATCACATGTCCTCTCTGACAGCTGAAGCCCCGCCCCGCAGGAGACTGAGCATGGCCTGAATGGAGCCCACGCACCCCAGCTGCCATCCTCTGCAGAGACAGCCAATAAGAGCTCAGATAATTTGATAATTTTGACCTTTTTCGGATCACGTCACGAGTTGGTTCCTCTCTCACCTGCACAGTTGGGGAGCTCGCTACAGTGCTGCACCTGTAACGCGTCTCCAGGGCAACTGTTGCCAGGTGGCGATGTGCTGTCTGACGGGGTGGGGTTAGAGCAGGAGCGATGTCGCACCCTGGAGGGAACGATGACATCGCCATCTGATTTAGCGATGCACGTAGCAGAACAATGAGACCAGCCAAACCAGCTGGACCAACCACCGTGGACTGGAACGCACAGGTGAGACAGAGAGACAGGTGA